AACATTTAGTAACCAGACGGCCGCTAGATGACTGCTGTAGTGACTCGCACTGGACTAAGTGGCCGTCCGGTTCTGTCACAGCAACTCCTAAATCAATCTTTCTCAGCATTTCTTCGCTGATCGTAGCAGTACCTGAAATTTTCTCCGTTTCAACTCCGATGACAACGTCATCGCCTATCTCCGCATTCTTAGTGCAATGCACACTGCTCTTAGCCATGTCTCCACAAATACCCGCTTTGCTGATGCCAGTCAGGAGATCACGCGTGTCGCTTGCCGCAAAGACGATGCCGCTCACAACACATGGCTCAGCATCACTCTTGCCAACCTCCGCTGCACCGTTCAAGGCTGTCACTAGCCAAGACGACATGCGCACAAAGTCCACGTTGTCCAGGCAAGAATCGAGCAAGCAACTCACAACTTCTGTTTGTGACACACTGCCCTGTAGCCTAGTGAGTTGCTTCTCCAGAGGTCCCAGTGCCTGACTTCGAAGATCATCAAGTTCATTCAGAACACTGGTTTCACGTTGCTGAATTGCTTCTACCAGAGAACGGAAAAACAGCACGGCCTCTTCTGATGCAAGCTCTATCTGATCATGAAGGTTACGAATGGAGGACTGTACTTTCTCAATGGATCTCTCCAGAATGCCATCACTCTCAGACACACAGCTCAGCAACAAATCATTCACTGACACTCTCATCTTCTCCACTGCAGCACTGATGGGTACAATATCTTGTTTGTGCTCCTCATGTTTTCCGGTGCCGATGCATCGCTCACATAACAACTTCTTACATTTCGTGCAGAACTTGGCCAGGATAGTGCTTGGGTGCAGTGCACAGCGATGCTGTGACTGAGTAGCTGAAGCAGCAGTAGCAGTGCCAGTAGCAGAAGTCTCAGTAACTGCTGCATCCAATGACAGTACCTCATGATCATGCGTAGCTCGGGAACGCTTGTGTGCTTGGCCGTGTAAATCGCATAAATGACTGCTGCATGTTGCACAGCGCCAAACAGCTGCCTGCACGTCCATACAATCATCGCACGATACTGCAGACTTCTGCTCTGTACCACCACCCGCTACCAAGGCATAACCATCAGGCAAACACAGCACAGGAGAACATCCAGCCTGCTGCAATGGTGTGCATGCTCTACACTTAGGACAGGTGATCGATCCATCCTCTTCGATGTGCCGCTCAATGCACACAACGCACACGGAGTGCAAACACGACACAATTTTGACCCTTTTCTTGTCACAACCACAGGATACGCAGTTCAGAACAGCTTGTGCAGACATGATCCAACCCCAAAGTAGAATCCAGTTCAAAACACTCTATTCCTTTTTCTCCACAGCTACACTGCTCCACGAAGAGAGAGAGGGAGAAAAGCAAGTAGCTAGCACGAGCAACTGCTGAATAAAGCAATGGCTGTCAAAGGCGCCGTGACTCCGCTGGTCCAGGACTGGTCGCAGCTGAACTCTCGGCTGGCCACCGTGGCGGTCGCGGAGACTCGAGCACTGGAGATAGCCACTGGCGATGTAGTCCTTCCAAGTCCGGACCAAGAAAGGCATGACAAGCAAAGCTGGTTAGATATCAGCTCAAGAGAGTAGGCACTTCTAGATAGGTTCTTCCCGGTGACAGCTGTCAGAGCTGCTAGTCGACAACAGACTGTCACAAAAAAAGAGATTTGAGATTTACAAAACTTTTCACAGTTAGAGAGAGAGAGAGGAAAGCGTCAAGAAGTCCGTTTCGACTGACTGTGCCTTGCGCACTTACAACTACGAGTCGTAGGCTACTACTGGTACATGTACTAGTACTTTAGCAGCAAGAACTAGTACTGTAGTAGTAGTAAGTACTAGTAGCTACATGCGCAAGTATAAGTACTCGGAGTGCGCCGCGTACTAGACACGAATTTCACTCGAAAATTCGATTTGCTGATGCTCCGTTTATTCCTCTACTCTAGACTAGTACTGATCATGAACATAACACAGAGGATAGGAGAAGGTCCCTGATTCATAGTACATGTACTGTGAACTGACCTGGACGCCAGCTGTGGCAAGTGAAATCCAGCCATGAGAGTATGGCAGTGCCGAGACTGCACCTCCCAAGCATTATCAATAGTGTGGTGTGCAGTGTACCACGGCTCTGCTCTATTCATGGGGTTGGATTTCATTCGCCATCACTGTACTGCATAGAGAGAGATACAAGCAAGGCACTGCCTTAGTGCCTATGCATAGAGATCACAGCAACCTTGGCGGGCATTCTATTCAGCCTAGGGTGTCATCGATTGGCGAATCTGAATTGAGTGCGAGCAGTTGGTGTGGTCCGAGCAATGCTCGCCCAATCTCTCTCTTTCGCTCTATTTTCGGCCTCTCTACCTCTCTATCATTCTCTCTCTCTCTCTCTCTCTCTCTCTCTCTCTCTCTCTCTTTCTCTCTCTCTCTCTCTCTCTCTCTCTCTCTCTCTCTCTCTCTATCTCTCTCTCTCTCTATCTATCTACCGGTATCTATCTCTCTCTCTCTCTCTCTCTCTCTCTCTCTCTCACTCACTCTCTCTTTCTCTATCTCTCTCTCACTCTCTCTCTCTCTCTCTCTCACTCTCTCTCTCTCTCTCTCACACACACACACACACACACACACACACACACACACACACACACACACACACACACAGTTGTTATCACCGATAAGGCAGAAAAGACAAATTCTTCAGAGTAGTTTCGTCAGAGAAGCGTCAGCATATTCGGCTATCATTCTGGTTATCAACACGTGTAAATAGTGACTCTCTACTCTACGCCACGGACACATGCCTATCAAAGGCATGCAAAATGTCCAACATATCGAGCATGCTGAAGGTCTTATCAGAAGATTTCGCGGCTCTTAAATCATATTTTTATGGTCGTGGCCTTCTGGTAAACCCAAAGAAAACCGAACTCCTAATCATCCATCGTGCCAGCGACTCAATTCCGGTGGCTGCATCAGTGCTGTGCGACACGACGACTGTCATCACCCCGTCACCCACATGTAAGTATCTTGGGCTCCACATCGATCAGCACCTGACCTTCCGACTCCATATCTCCCACCTCCTTGATGAAGCTAGGTGCTTTTAGGCGAGGCAGAGACAACCTGGACAGTAATGCTCGCCGAGCTTTCTATCTTGGAGTTATACAGAGCAAATTAGAGTACGCCATCACATCATAATGTTCATTCATTACACGCTGCAGAATACGATAAGCTTCTAGGACTGCGCCGCCGAGCCGTTCGTATTGTATTTGCCTACCCTTCCCGTGCTGACGTTGAGCCCATTTTGCGTTGTCACAACCTCCACCCACTCAGCCTACGCCTCACTCTTAAGCTTTTCATTTTTATCATCACGCCTAGTCGACGGGTTGCGATCAATTGCACCCAATGAATCATCAACAGGTTTGCTACAAGTTTCTCCATTATTCTCCTCAAATCTCTCCCTTTAATAATAGTGCAGTGTGTATCACATCCCTCCTACATTGTATCATTTGTATGTATAATTATGTTCTCTTTGCATAACAATGCATCGTCTTCTTCAGGTTTAGTTTCACTGCTCCAGACAGAGGACTGGTACCACATAACTGTACATTATACGTGATTTTGCACCGATAAAGTGATGTTGGATGACGTAGGGGGGCGGGGGGGGGGGGCTAGGACATGATATCCGTATTATCCGTTTGTGCGTGATCAGTTCATGTCAGTTCATGTACATGTACATGGTAATACATGGGACTACATGGTAGTTGTATGTCCATGCAACTAACTTGGTACCTCGAGGTTGACTTTCAACGCACCTGATGGTAGTGGGTGGCGTACGGAGATGTAATAGCAGATAGAACGGCATAGGACAGACAGAATGACGCCGATGGCACGGTTCTCTCCGTCTCAAGTATGTGCCTTCTGTTCCTAACTTCTCGTTCCTGCTAGTGCCCGGCGCGTGGTACGGAGATGCACAAGATCTAGGACAGGGCTTCCTTAGCTGTTGCTGAGCAAAGTCGCAACTGCCAGATGAGAAGTGGGGTAATCAATCATTATAGATCACGACTGATGACCACATGACCAGCACTACATGCCTCATCCCGCAGTCCCGCATCACATGTACAGGCCACTACAACTGGTATTTCATGCTTGATAATGTGCACCTAATAATTAAGTGGATCAGAATGCTCCTATCCCGTGCAATACGCGTGCAACGTAAAGCTCAATATCACGACACCCCCTAGTCCCTGGTACGTGGTGGAACATTGACATTCGGTTACATTGCGCACAACACGCCGTCGCTGAAATCCCGGGCGGTGACACCGGTGGAAGCCGTCCAAGGCTAACCGACACTTCTTTTTCTGCCAACAAAGCAAAGCGAAGACTTCAAGAGGGATACATCACTGCAATGTACACACACACATTATAACATGTATTGGAAGTATGTGGATTATATTATGTAACGGGCAAGCTACAGGATATGCATGGCGATATCCCTTGCTTATGCTGTCCTGTTCATTCTTGAAGAGGTAGAGGATGTTCGCGCACTTGAAAGCTGCGAAGTCACTCCGTTCGGATTTTCAAAACGCCAATTGCCACTCGGTTCCACTGCATGGTAGATGATGTCTGTGCCTTATGCTGTGGGATATGATTGTTTGATAACCCAGGTCGGACCTGGCACATGCCTTTAATTTCTGGCCCTTGCTGCATGTTGGCATTAGAGACAGTCACGAAGATCTCCATCAGCTCGTACCACTCACGAACGTGTACTTCGGCTGCTACTACGATGGGTATCCGGCTGGTACGGTGGCGGCCAATGCGACCTTCACACGTTTCCATCTGCACCATGCAGTTACCAACACCGCCAAAAGCGGAATAAAAGCCGCCGATTTCCGTCAGTTGCAGCACACTTCGTGCCAGGGAGACGACGCAAAGGGCTGCTGTGACTCTTTCTACAAACTGCCCTTTTTTCTTGATTAGTATTTTACTACCACTACGAACTGTAGTCATGAAGGGAGCATTGTTGTGCATTCTAGTTCTCCTGGCTCTGGCAGCCATCAGCTCCGCACAGCGTGGCCGCGGAGGTGGCAAGGGCCGCGGCGGAGGCGGTTCGTCGCCCGGTGGAAGACCGGGAACAGGTGGAGGTGGAAGAGGAGGCGGCGGCGGCTCTCCAGGTCGCGGCCGCGGCTCTCCTGGTCGCGGCGGCGATAGGGATAATGATGATGACCGTGATAATGAGAACGGTGGTGGTGGTCAAGGCGGTGCACCAGCTAGAAGCCAGCCTGCTGAAGGACAGGCAGATAATGACAAAAGTGATCGACGGGCTGTTGGACGACCAGGCGGTAAGGGACCTCAGCGTGGAGGACGACAAGGAGGTGAAGGCCCACAGCGTGGTGGTGGCAGACCAGGTGGTGATGGGCAACAGAAGTCTGGTGGCCGACCAGGCGGCAAACCAGGCCCACAACGACGACCAGGAAGTGCAGGGCCACAACGCGGAGGAGGACGACCAGGCGGCAAAGGCCCACAACGCTCAGGAGGACGACCAAGGGGCAAAGGTCCACAGCAGGGTGGAGGACGACGAGGTGGTCGCCCCGGAGGCAATAACAACTCACCAAGGCCTAACCCACTAGCTAGAGCACTGAATTGCCCTGTCAACCCTGCTCCAATGGCAATGGTTGATCACAGTGCCGTATCCATTCAAGATATCCGCAGCTGCATCCAGGAAGCCTTTAGAGCAGCTGGTCCAGGTGGTCCAGGTGGTCCAGGTGGTTCAGGTGGCCCAGGTGGTTCAGGTGGCCCCCAAGGTGGATCCGGCCAAGACGGTTCAGGGCAACAGGGCCCAGGTCAGGATGGACCAGGCATGGGAGGATCCGGAGCGGGTGGGCCGCCAGCTGGTGGGCCTCCGGACGGCCAGGGTTCAGGTACTGACGGACCTATGGGAAGTGGTGCAGGCGAGGAGAATGTGTGCAGCCTGGTACGTCAATTATGCTGCAGCTTCCAGCGAATCTGCCTCAATATTGCCCGATCCCTGCGCCCCTTGTAAGATCAAACCAGGCCTGAGTGAACTCCTGAAGGACCTTACTGACTATTTACTTCCACCAATAGAATTATTTCTTTAGCGTCTGTTGCACAACTGCAATCTCTACGTTGATTCCTCTACACATTTTCCTTTTAAACATTGCTGACTACCTTCCGCTATCCTGCGCACATTCTGTACGAAATATCGCCACAACAAATACTTTTTAACTACAAAAAAATTGCAACTTAGCTGCTGTGGCCACCGCCGGTTGGTGTCTGTGGACAGATGAGAATGTTATATATTTTTGGAAATGATGTTCATCTAGAACCTAAAATTAATAGCAATAAAAAGAACAAATTCCGCCGCCATCACCGTACAACAAAGATGTCGTGAAGGTTTCCAACATCGATTTTCATGTCGATATCGTCCTTTTCCTCTCTGATGGTCTATTTGAGAAGTGCTCTTTCTCACTGAACGTCTGATGGAAGTATTCGGGTTGCATGGCCAGTCTGTTTCATTTATTAAATGGGGAGCATGCCAAGTGTTTCATACCCATTGAGAATGAGTTTTCTCGCTCCACATGTACTGGCGCACACAGAGTCATAGACAGCAATAGCGACAACACACAAAGTGAAGGGTAGTTGGCCGCAGCCAGATTTGAACCGGATAACGAGTGAGGTATGGAAGGACTGAGATCAGAGTGTCTCAGATAGAATAGGCGTGCCAGTGGATAGCAGAAATAGGCCATGATGCAGAACCACTTGGGATCTTCAGATTAATTTTCCTGGACCGAGCCAGCCGGGAAAAGACCCTCGCGCCGACGGACGCAGTTGTGAGGGAAAAAACCGGGTGTATATCCCCAATGGCGAGGCATCATGTAGGCATAGCAAGCACGTCACGGCAAAAATGATAAAAAAATCTATAATAATATGCACATAAATGAAGGGTGGGAGGGCAGGGACACTGGTGAGACTCAAAACTGACTGATGAAGTCAGGAAAAGAAGCGATAATAAAGAACACACCAGATGTCATATTTGCAACTGAAAATATTTCGCGAGAAATCATTACATTTTTTCGCCTAAATCGCTGCGCTCGGCCGGCGAGAAATACAACTTCTCAACTTTGGTTGCTACTGACTTGATGTGGTGAAAGGGATCCCTACAATATTATGATATTTGACGTCCATGCAAACAACTATTTGCACTAAATGCATATGCCCACAGTCGAGGAGGATCGTGTTTGGTGATTACCTGATAGAATATTTCTGCAACTGTTGGCTCTACTTAGCCATTCAATCCAACTCCTTTATTGGCAGTCAATTGTGCTTGGGGTGTGGTATACATGTAGTTATAGAAATATCTACAAGTACACATTAAACATGGTTAAAGGAGCAGTTCACCCTAAAATGAAAACTTCAAAATGAAAACTTCAAAACTTGTAGCGAAATATGCACTGGTCCAATGGTGAAGGGCCCAGTTTTATCGGAGCAGCCGTTCCCGAGTTATACCAGCTTGAAGTTTGCACGAAATTTGGTGACATCATGATGACATCATTAACTTGCCCAAGCTAGGCCGAATTTATGACGTCATGGAGATAGACTTTGTGGTAGACTATTGTAGTAGCATACGTAAGTTATCCACTATCTGAAAAGATAAATCTGTTCCTCCTCTGCTGCGAATCTGACTAGCTCGCTGCTCATCCTCTACTGGGTGTCGTGCAATGCTCTGGTTTGGTTTGGTTTTTATTATTTCAGTTCGTTGCCTCAACAGTAAAAAGTACAAAATATCAAGAGGGACGAACGAAAAGAGAAAATAAAACAGAGCAGAGAGAAAGATGCAACTGAAAGGAAAGAAAAACGGAGAGAAACGGAGAAGGAATGTGGACTGGGCGGATTCATGAACCATTACTAGAGTAGTAGAGAGAAACGGAGGAGGAATGTGGACTGGGCGGATTCATGAACCATTACTAGAGTAGGGCAATGCATGAACAGAAGGGGCAAATCCGTCGATATTCATGTTTAAAAATATTCCAAGCCTTATTTTATCGGTGAAATACATTTTCAAAAATGAGGGGATATAGGGATATACTGTAAAAGCCATATACATAACGAAGTGCTAACTCTAACGAGTTAACGAGGAGAAATCTGTCGTTAAAATAGAAATCGTTATACAGGAATCGATACATATACTGTCCTATTGAGCTTTGAGAGTGAGTGAAAATCGTTACCTTTGGTACACGTAAACTAGTCAATTTTGGGAAATCGTTATTATTATGCGCCTCGTTAGAATAATGGCTTTTAGTTTCACAGTAGACAATTAGTCGTCATTTAGAGCGTGCAAAAGTTCTGTGGAAAATGATCTAATGTCCTCACTTCCTTTCAAGTGAGCAGGGAGGGCATTCCACATAAGGGATGCTCTGGAGGAAAAAGAATTGTACCCTACCATGGATTTATACAAGCAAATTGACAAATTGTTTGTTGTAGTTCCACGAGTTGACCGCTTAGAGGTGGGCAAAGGGAAAAGACTGCGTAAGCATGATGCAGGCTGAACAATATGACAAAAAACGTAAACGTAAGAAATTGATAAATGTATCGATATGCAAGGTAGAATGAAGGTGAAGACACCACTGCAGCTGTACTTATGGTTGATAGATATGGTGGTAAAGACACACCTGGCAATATGGCGGTAAACACACGCCTGCCCACACACGCTCTCTAAGCTGCAAAGTTCTGGCACAGAGCTCTCCTTCTCACCACCACCACCACCATCAGTTCGTGCCTGGCGCCTATTCGATGCATGGTTGGCGGTATCCGACATAGCAGGCTGGTACATCAAGTATCGCATGGCACATAGAAGATGACACAGCAACGACTTAGCTCGATTGCGACGTACGTTTCGTCCCCGCTGGACTCATCAGGCAATCTTCTTCTTGGATGTCTTCATACGGAGCTTGACTCGGGAGAATGAAGGTGAAGACACCACTGCAGCTGTACTTATGGTTGATAAAATTAATATGGTGGTAAAGACACACCTGGCAATATGGCGGTAAACACACGCCTATTGCCAGGTGTGCCTTTACCACGGTATTCAAGGTGTTTTATTTGAAGAGAAGCAAGAAGGGGTGGTACAGCAGCATGATATGAAGCACCGCAGGTAACTCGTACAGCTCTACGGCACAAGGTAAACAATCTCTCCCTGGACTGTGCTGATAGGTGAGATGCGTAAACAGGGAAACAATACTCAAAGTCGGGCTGAATCACACTCAGCAGGTACTGGCGACGGGCAAATGCTGCCATTTGGCGGAAGGTGCGTCGCAACGCGCCTATCTTGCGTGACACCTTGCTGGTGAGGTGATCTACGTGTGGAACAAATGAGAGCTTGTTATCGATAAGGATACCAAGGCAGCGAATTACACTCCCTTCCCATAAGGTAGTGCCACCCAGCTCAACAAGAACGGGTCTTTGTACGTCAGGAGCATTCTTCGGCAATATCCTCATGACCACGGTTTTTGTCAACATTAACGCTCATGCCCAGTGATCTTAGTTCATTGTGTAGCTTAGCGAGAGCCGAGGACACGACATCGACGCATACTATTGGATCTCGTGAGGAAGCGTACAAAGTCTTGTCATCGGCAAACATGAGGAGCTTTGCACCGCTCCCTGCAGCCAGGTCAGGTAACAGTCGCACATATAGGTTAAAAAGGGTTGGACCCAAGATTGTTCCCTGCGGAACCCCTCGAGTTACAGGGAGAAGAGATGATGTTCCAGAGGCTATACATACACGCTGATACCGGCCGTTCAGGTAGGAAGCGAACCATTTCAGGGCAGAACTATGAATGTCTAAGTTGTGCAAAGTAAAGATAATTTCCTGGTGCACAACTCGATCAAAGGCTTTCCTTAAGTCAATATTATGCTACCACGGTTGTATGACCCACATCTCTAGCCAACGTCCAGTCATATACAACCAAGGTCATGACCTGCACTGTTGATCGCTGGGGCCGGAAGCCAAATTGATGATCGTGTAGACAAGTATACAGGTCGAAGTCCCGCAGCAGTTGGTCAAGGGCAAGACGTTCGAGCATTTTGCTGAGAATGCTCGTAAGCGACACAGGGCGATAGTTGGACGGAGAGGTGTGATCACCCTGCCGGGATTTAAGAATGGGGGTGATATTAGCGATTTTAAAAAGATGAGGGAAAGTCGAAGATTGAAGAGAAGACAAGTATTGGAAATGGCTGATATAGAAGGTCTCTGGGTGCCTCTACACGTTCCACAACGTTCGGTGCAACTCGCTTTAATAGTATCAAGACTACATAAATGTTGATAGTACGTACTCTGGTAAGAATATAATGATATGCTCTTGCTTAGTACGGACATTGTTCGGAGCACGGGCTCACTGTACTGATCAATAAAGTGGCGCCCCCCCCCCCCGCCCCCCCCCCCCTCCTCCAAGTGACTCACTTGTCGGGCACTGAAAACCCAATATTGCCCTCCCAACCATGCCATAATAAATACATACATGTATTTTTTTTTACAGAATGCACCTCCTACTGATAGACCATAACAAAGAGAGGAGAAGAAGAAGAAGACAAAAGAAAATAATGATCGAGACAACAAAGGAGAAAGACAGACAATGTTCTAGTAGGGGCTCTCAGGGAGCCTGTGCCGGTGAGGCGGGACTAGCAACGCCGACCTAGGGTCTCGGCGTTAGCGCTATCCAGCGCACCATGGACGAGATTACGAAACACATGTAAATAGATAAGTGAGGGGGGAGGGAGCTGATTGTGGATATAAGGGGTGTTACAGCGAGTCTGTAGTATGGGGTGTTACAGCGAGTCTGTAGCCCAATACCAGCGGCTTTGTCGTAGGTGCTGATGGACCTGGCCCTTGAACGATTGGAGGGACGTCAGTCATTCAAGGGCAAGGTGCATCAGCACCTACGACAAATCCGCTGGTATTGGGCTACAGACTCTCTGTAACACCCCATACTACAGTTTTGTGTGTTTGGATACGAAGTACACATTCCTACAGTCCATTGCATAGGTAGAATGTATCATCAGAGTTCTACTGAACTTCTGAAAGTGTATTGTTGTTACAATTATTTTTAAAAAAAGTAAATATTGCCAAGTACAGGTACAAGTACGGATTGCCTTATCGACATACATGTACATGTATAATATGTATACGTCAAGGCACGGCAATCAGTGCTCAGTGACCTGCGTCACAAAATCTGCGTTCTTGCATTGCTTAGAATGCTCTAAGCATCGTGCTGCTGCCGCTCCTAATGAGTTTTCACACACTGTTGTAGTGCCGGAAGCCCACATCGTGTTCATGTTTGTATTCAATTTCTTTTGTCCATTTTGTTCTGTTTGTTGCTGCGAACACAGCTCCATGCTGGGTGATCAGTGGTGTTGAGTGTATAAAACATGTTGCTCGGACGAGGTTCGCGGCTCACATGGCCGTGTCGGCCATATGAGCCAGATTGGTAACTTCGAGAGCCTGCCTTCAACTCATACCTAACCTAAACGTCCCCAAGAAGGTGCGTTCAGCATTTCTTTCTCTCGCCGAAGTCGCAACCACTATTACTACTGTTGTTCCCAACGCGGGCCTGAGACTTGTCTGGAGGTGACAGCATTGAGAATGACTGAGCGTGCTCACCGTCTGTTTTCACCAGTCAGGAGCTACTAGTACACTGATTCACACCGTTATCTAATATCACACACACACACACACACACACACACACACACACACACACACACACACACACACACACACACACACACACACACACACACACAACACACACACACACACACACACACTTGTACTTGTACTTGTTGCTCACTGCCAAAACTGGTCACGTGGGTCTCCCCGGGAGAGGGGAGAGAGACTCAAAAGGAATCTTGGAAAGATGACTCAACTGGCTATTGAACCGCCCAACGGCCGACACCCCCTGAAATCCCCAAAACTCTGGGTGGACTTGAAAATGATCCCACTTATGGGCTCACCACACCTCAGTAAGTGGGTGAGGACAAGGTGCAGAAAAAGGATTGACGGCATCAGGGTATCCGTCCTGGGATCCAACTGCAGTTACCCCTGCCCCCAGTGAAGGTAATACTTGCTACTAGTGTGGGTGGCTAAATCAGAATGGATCTGATCTAAGCGTCACACACACACACACACACACACACACACACACACACACACACACACACACACCATTGGACGCCCATCACCGGAGGCGATGATAGCGATGCTACAGCAGAAGCCATAGCAACTTGCGCTGGGATTGCACCATTCAACAGCTTGCAAGGCTGAAGAATTGACCGCCACTATTCAGCCTGGTCTACACCACACAGCTATGAAGTGGCTCTTTCTGGCCAGTGAATCCCTACTTTTTGGTCTTTTTCATTTTTTTCACACACACACACACACATACACACACACACACACACACACACACACACACACACAAATACATCGTGAACACCAGAATAATAGAACTATTTTTTTAAACATTCTGGTGTTCAGGATGTATTAGTCGCGCTGGAAACGGAGCGTCTCTGTAAGTTGGTATTCCCGGTGATGTTTCGGACTGGCGACAAGGATGTACTCGTACATTTTAGGTGGTTCTTTTCAGGCACAATCTTCATCATCCTGCTCAAGCTCAACTGATGTGTTGTGAATTCCCCCAAAGGACAATACATTGTATTGAGCAGGGATTGGTGCTTTCTTGCATGTTTGCTGAGGCGAAGGTTAGAGGAACCATTCGATGTATTTCGATATCTTACACCCGATGGTTTGTGAACGGTTATGTTATGTTATGTTATTTTCATTTTATTTCACCGTCCAATGGCAGAAGCCAATGCAAAGGAGGGGGCATTAGCCAGCCATGACAAGAGAAGGAAAAAGAAAGAAAAAGGAAAGAACATAATAATCGGAAGAAAAGAACGCATCAGCGGGTATGAACTACCCCGTTGTGCTCCTCTAGTCTCTTCCCAGTGTGCGCCTCATCTCTCCGACGTACATGTAGAGTCGTTGCTCACTTTCTACATTCTATTGCCTCGCGTATTTTCTTTTTCCAGCTTCTGCCCAGGGCGTCCTTCCCTCAGCTCGTCAGCTGCTCAAAAGTCACTGTCACCATCACAATGACACTGTCGTGAGACGGTGATCTCTGTAGACGAGATTGGTTGGAAAACGAGAAGATAGTCACACAAACTAGACTGTCATCCAACAACGAACAAAAAAGTCACGTGACGCCAGACTTCCAGTACTAAATCACAAGAAATGTTGTTATTAAGACTCCCTAGAATAATGAGGGTCCGAACCGGGGCCAGACTCCAAACGGTAACACTCCATGCGTTCAAATCATGATCGCAAGACCGGTGCTCTGCCAAACCGATGGTGGTTGTAGTCAGGAACGCTGTTTTCGACACAGTGCGTTCGCCGCCTTGTAACATGCTGTCCACCGATCGACATGTTAGTATTTACTTCATGGTGCTGGGTGGCGTACAGAGGCGCAGATAAAACGACATCCAGTACAATGCAGGACAGAAAAATGCCGATGGCACGGCTCTCTCCGTGTAAAGACTTAAGTATGTGCCTTCAATTCCTATCTTCCCGTTCCTGTCAGTGCCTGGCGCATGGTACGGAGATGCACATGGTCAGCTTAGCCAAGGACTGGACTTCTTTCATTATCCAAACAGCACGTGCCGAGCAAAGTCACAACTGCCAGATGATGATGAGCATGCTAGCATGGCATAACATCACGACGGATGACCACGTGACCAGCACTAGATTCTGGAAGGCATCAGTGCATTGCCTGCTCGCTGGATGAAGTAAAAATTAATAAAGAATACTATCATACTACTACAGGTATCATCCCATACTACACGTTCTTGATCATCCTTTTCCTTGTTGTTCATATACATGTACAGTCATGTGTATCTGTGCACCTGATAATTATTTCAAGTGGGTCAGAATGATACTAACTCGTGCAGTACACGTGCAACTACCAAAGCAAAGTATCGCGACTCTCTGAGTGGTATACTGCACTGAGTGGTACAGCACTGGTGGGGAGAGGGGGTGGGGAATACTGACAATCCGCTACGTCCGTAAGTCGTTGCGTTGCTAAATTTCCGTACAGTTACACCGCGGTGGAAGCCGTCCAAGGCTAGCCGACACTTCCCCTTTCTTTCAAACTCAAAACAGAGCCACGACGTCAAGAGGGATACATCACTATTACTGCACACATACAGTACTTTTAAAAAAATCATGAAAAGACTACTAGGACTGGTGGCTGCCTAATCGTACAGGTGTTGTGATATCGCTCATGCTGCTTGTAGAACTGGAGAATGTTAACGCACTTGAAAGATGCGAAGTCACTTCGGACGATCATGACTGTTTCTTGACCTGTACCCAGTACATTGTACATTGTACTACTTCAGTACTAATACCCTTGTACAGTGCACACTGCTCTTATAATCATGTAAATCGTGCCCGAAGAGCACTCAATGCGAATATTTAAATCGCGAAATGCCACACAACCGCATGGTGGGTCCGGTTTCAGTACCCTATGCTGTGACATACATGTACATTATGCCGAGGTATAATTGTACGAGTATGGCAACTCAGGTCTGAATATTGCGTGGCACATGTCTTTTCTTGTATTTGCTGCTTGACGGAGACAGTCACAGAGATCTCCAGCAGTTCGTACCACTCACGAAAGTGTCCCTCGAGGCCTCGTCCGCTAGTGGATATTGAGCTGGTACGGCAGCATTCGATTCCATCTGCACTATACAGCTAATAATACCGCCAAGAGCGGAATAAAGGCCGCTGACTTTCGTCAGTTGCAGCACACTTCTTGCCAGGGAGAAGACGTGAAGGGCTGCTGTGACTCGTCCTACAAACTGCTCTTTTTTTCTTGATTAGTATTTTACTACCACTACGAACTGTAGTCATGAAGGGAGCATTGTTGTGCATCCTAGTTCTCCTGGCTCTGGCAGCCATCAGCTCCGCACAGCGTGGCCGCGGAGGTGGCAGGGGCCGCGGCGGAGGCAGTTCGTCGCCCGGTGGACGACCGGGGACAGGAGGAGGAGGTGGAAGGCCGGGAACAGGTGGAGGTGGAAAAGGACGCGGCAGCGGCTCTCCTGGTCGCGGCGGCGGCTCTCCTGGTCGCGGCGGCGATAGGGATAATGATGATGACGGTGATAATGAGAACGGTGGTGGTGGTCAAGGCGGTGCACCAGCTAGAAGCCAGCCTGCTGAAGGACAGGGAGATAATGACAACAGTGATCGACGGGATGGTGGACGACCAGGTGGTAAGGGGCCTCAGCGTGGTGGTGGACGACAGGGAGGTGAAGGCCCACAGCGTGGTGGCGGGCGACCAGGCGGTGCTGGGCCACAGCAGGCTGGTGGCCGACCAGGCGGCAAACCAGACCCACAACGACGACCGGGAAGTGCAGGCCCACAACGCGGAGAAGGACGACCAAGCGGCAAAGGCCCACAGCGAGGTGGCGGACGACCAGGAGGTGCAGGGCCACAGCAGGGTGGAGGACGACGAGGTGGTCGCCCCGGAGGCAATAACAACTCACCAAGGCCTAACCCACTAGCTAGAGCACTGAATTGCCCTGTCAACCCTGCACCAATGGCAATGGTTGATCACAGTGCCGTATCCATTCAAGATATCCGCAGCTGCATCCAGGAAGCCTTTAGAGCAGCTGGTCCAGGTGGTCCAGGTGGTTCAGGTGGTTCAGGTGGCCCAGGTGGCCCAGGTGGTTCAGGCGGCCCCCAAGGTGGATCCGGACAAGAAGGTCCAGGACAACAGGGCCCAGGTCAGGATGGACCTGGCATGGCAGGACCCGGAGCGGGCGGGCCGCCAGCTGGTGGTCCTCCAGACGGCCAGGGTTCAGGTACTGACGGACCTATGGGAAGTGGTGCCGACGAAGAAAATGTGTGCAGCCTGGTGCGTCAATTATGCTGCAGCTTCCAGCGAATCTGCCTCAATATTTCGCGATCCCTGCGCCCCTTGTAAGATCAAATCAGGGCTGAGTGACCTCCTGAAGGACCTTACTGACTATTTACTTCCACCAATAGCATTATGTCTTTAGCGTCTGTTGCAAAACTTCCATCTCTACGTTGATTCCTCGACATATTTTCCTTTTAAACATTGCTGACTGCCTTCCGCTATCCTGCGCACATTCTGTACGAAGTATCGCCACAACATACTTTTTAAATTTGAACTAAAAATAAACTTCAACTTAGCTGCTGTGGCCACCGCTGGCTGGGGTCTGCGGATAGGTGAGAATGTTATTATATTTTTGGAAATGATTTTTCATCTACATGTAGAATCTAAAATTGCAATAAAAGAACAAATTCCGCCATCATCACCGTACAACACAGATGTCGTGAATTTAGCAATGTAACAGGGAGGACAATTCAGTAGCAAAATTAACCATTGCAAAAATATGAGAGTACCTGAGACCGAGGGTACCTGTGGAGCGATAAAATTCTAAAAGCAAACAGAAGAAAGTGAAATCATAAACCAATACGCGAAGTAGAAGGCATCATTGAAATTATTCATTGCATGTTCGCCTGATGAAGTAAAAATTAATTAAAAAAATACCACACCATACCACAACACGTATTATCCCATACTACTTCGAAGTACATGTACATGAAATTGTTGTTTGATGTTGTGCACCTAGTATTCAAGTGGATCAGAAAGATACCAACTCGTGCAATACATAACATACCGGTAAACTAAGTATCGCGACTCTCTGAGTGGTACTGCACTGTACTGGTGGGGAGGAGGGGGGGGGAGGTACTGACAATCCGCCACGTTCGTAAGTCATTGCGTTGCTAGAGTTCCGTACGGTGGCACCGCGGTGGAATCCGTCCAAGGCTAACCGACACTTCCCTTTCTTTCGAAGCATGGCGATGACTTCAAGAGGGATACACATACATGTACAGAACTTATCATGAAAAGGACTACTAGTATTACTAGGAGTACTAGTAGCTTCAGGGTCTCGCCAGTGTACTAAAGAACTTTATTGAAAATCAATACTAATGTGATCGGAAAGATGATTGAAGAAAAATCCAAAGTCAAACCCAGGCAATTATTAGCAGTCACTACTATCAAAGCAGATCATTATTTGCAATAGTATACTTCAGTAGTATAGTATTTATTCATATTTCTCTAGGGCAGTCCCCACAGACCTATGGTCTCCTTACGGGGTGCCCTAGCCAATCTAAGATTGCGATATGAAATTGACTTGGTGAGGCATAGCGCAACTTGGAAAGCCGGCTAATATTCCAGACCATCCCTACTTGTAAAGTAGGTTGATATCAACCGGAAGACGCGTCTACAAAGACCGTAGACGGCACTCGTCCAGAAATGACAAAGCCCCGGATCGCCTACGCAAATATGACGCCCGGCAACCACGGAAACAGGTGACGAACCACCTGACTAAAACGAAAAAGATCTTGCATCTTTTAAAATGATTCATGATCAATGAATACTGCAAGCCAGAATGATCCATGACAATCAAGCCGACCAAATTCTTTAAAGCCCGCAGACATTTGCATCCACACAGGCCATTGGTACTGAAGACCAAAAGTGTGAATGCACCTCTCTCAGCATCCACTACACGCTGCAGATATGCTCTCTGCTTCTGGCTTTCATTCCTAGACCTCTGTGCAAGAAGTTGCCCCCTCGACAACACGGATTCTGATGGGTGAGTCACCCTAACATCAAAAATGAATCCTGCTGTCGAGACCAGAAACTTCTTCCACAGATGTCCTGTGTTCTTGCGAATTCAAATAAAAATATACAATCATACATACATACATGTCCAATCTAGCTTTGTCTCTTCTAATGGCCGAGGCTCTGGAGAGCGACTCACCCTCCAGCGGCAGAAGGGGAGGCTCAATCCGGACATCCGGTAGAGCAGCGCCCATGGCATCAGCCAGAAGATCACGCAGCGCGTTGTACATGTACATGTACCTCAGGGTGGGATCCCCCAGTAGGACACCCTGCGTGATCCAAAGACAGTACTGCTCCACACACACACATGTGCTCGCCAAGTCGTGGACGGGCCAGCCATACTGGATCGCCAACACATCAGCAAAATCTGACTTCTTCAGCCCAAAATCACCGGTGGAGGAGTCAGCTGTCATCCAGCTGGATACCCCCCGCTTCACCAGCTATGTCAACTAGCAGTTGCTGGGATGAGCTGAGGAGTTCCTTTAGCTCCTCACTCCTCTGCCGCAGCAATGAGTTAATTAAAGCGATAATGCTCTGTTTGCCTCAGGGACTTGACCCTGGTCCGCTTCTGCAAAAGATCACTGACAAACGAGCCAGCAGGTGAATCAGAGAAGGATCCTTCCGGTGGAGAGCCACTAGAAATTTTACCGCTTATGCAGTCCTGTTCATCCTTGGCCTTGAAGAGTTAGAGAATGTTTACGCACTTGGAAGGTGCAAAGTCACTACGGTATGATCATGACTGTTTTTGACCTGTACCCAGTACATTGTACTACTTCAGTAATACCCTTGTACACTGCTCTTATAAAAATGTAAATCGTGCCCGAAGAGCACTCATTACGAATATTGAAATCGCGAAATGCTCCACAACTGCCATGGTGGATCAGGTTTCAGTACCCTATGCTCTGACATACATTATTCTGAGGCATACATGTATACGAGTGTGGCAACTCAGGTCTGAACATTGCGTGGCACCTGTCTTTTCCTGTACTTGCTGCATGACGGAGACAGTCCTAGCGATCTCCATCAGCTCGCACCACTCAGGAAAGCGTCCCTCGTCCGCTGCTAGTGCGGCCATGGATATCGAGCTGGTTCTGCAGCATTCGATGCGACCATGGCGACTCTTCACGTATCCATCTGCACTATACAGGTAATAACACAGCCAAGAGCGGATTAAACGCCGCCGAATTCCGTCAGTTGCAGCACACGTCTTGCCAGGGAGAAGACGCAAAGGCACTACAAACTGCCCAATTTTCTTGGTAGGTATTATACTATAGTAGTATTACTAGTTCACCGAACTGTAGTCATGAAGGGAGCATTGTTGTGCATCCTAGTTCTCCTGGCTCTGGCAGCCATCAGCTCCGCACAGCGTGGCCGCGGTGGAGGCGGTTTGTCGCCCGGTGGAAGGCCAGGAACAGGAGGAGGTGGAAGAGGACGCGGCGGCGGCTCTCCTGGTCGCGGCGGCGATAGGGATAATGATGATGACGGTGATAATGAGAACGGTGGTGGTGGTCAAGGCGGCGCACCAGCTAGAAGCCAGCCTGCTGAAGGGCAGGGAGATAATGACAACAGTGATCGACGGGATAGTAAACGACCAGGCGGTAAGGGACCACAGCGTGGTGGAGGACGACAGGGAGGTGAAGGCCCACAGCGTGGTGGCGGCCGACCGGGCGGTGCTAGGCCACGCCGTGGTGCAGGACCAGGCGGAAACCCAGGCCCACAACGCGGAGGAGGACGACCAAGCGGCAAAGGCCCACAGCGAGGTGGCGGACGACCAGGAGGTGCAGGGCCACAGCAAGGTTGAGGACGACGAGGTGTTCGCCCCGAGGGGGGATAACAACTCGCCAAAGCCTAACCCGTCACTAGCTAGAACACTGGGTTTTTGCCCTATCAACCCTGCAGCATGTAGTGGTATTGTTTCCTTTTTGCTAGTCTCTTTACGGGATACGGAAAACTGGGCCTTTGGCCGAGTCTCACGCGAACCGTGATTTTTATATAATTATTTTTTATGGAAGCTGTGTGAATTGCCCTTGTGATTTGATGTGGTGTTTGAATTTTCACACCATTCTTTCAGGGATCGAGGGAAGTTTCCTGCACGCATGCATGCATGCATGCATTTCGATTTTGGAATAAGAACAAACTAAAAAATCAAAATCGACAAATGTGTGTTTAAAAAAACGCACTGCACTGTCCGCAATCACAGTCACAGTCATAATCAGATTGATTGCTATGTAGAACGAGATGAAGAACTGAATGCCAAGGGCGCTTCGACTTTGTCACGCATGTGCTAACTGAGATAGTGGGTACTGTCTGTTCCTCGCCTGTGAGCTGTACATGTAGATCTAACACTTCGAAAATGCCACTACATGTTATTAACTTATTATTCCCATGTACACATCGGTACCTGACGAAAAACGAAAATCGTCCAGGATTAGAATCGCGATCACACTACACATGTGGGGTGAATGAAAATTCAAAGTTCATTTCGAGCGTCGAGTGGTAATCTCCACGAACGACGTCAAATTCCTTTCACCTTGGTGATCGCCAACACCTTCAGTGGGATCCTTGCAACCATCCTGATGAGTCCTATTTCACAACTTTTCCCCAACCTTGGCGCATTTGGCCCCATGGGCCTCCACCCATGTTTCAATACAGCCATCCGGAGAAAAGAAACAGCCAGAAGAGAAGCAAAATTTACAGATTAATTTTGTTAATTGCCAAATGTTTAAAAAAAGCCAAATCCCCTCGTATGGGACATATGTATGGCATGTATGGCACCCTACCGGTATCCCGACTGGAAAAGATTCTAGTATGAAATTCATTTTTGCAGAGATACAAGAAAGAAATTGGTTTTTCCCCATCTACTTCCATAGAAAGTCTATTTCTCTGACGTCATACATGTAAATCCGGCATAGTCTGGACAAGTTTATAACGTCATCATGATGTCACCAAATTCATGGCAAACTCCAAGCTGTAATAACTCGGGAATGGCTGCTCCGATCAAACTGGGACCTTCACCATTGGAATCAGCGCATTTCGCTACGAGTGTGCTCATTTTAGGGAACTTCCCAATTAAAAGCAGCGCCGTGTTTCCTGTTCTATTAAATCATGCACGTTCTAAAACGGATCTGATTATGAGGGCCGCAGGGGCCGCAACAGCCTTGGCGCTGATTTTGGAACATTGGTCGGATGTCTTTGGCCACGAGTTGAAAGCTGTCGTCCCTGCTCCATTTCTTTATCCAGATACCAAACACGCATGAAACGTACCAGAAAAATACCAAATTCTGCCAATTTTCTGCCAGCATTATCTGTCATGGGCCACCACGCAGTAGCTTGTTGATGATCGGTTGTGCAGTTTCGTATCGTGCAAGCCAACACCGATCTAAATTTTGTACATGTAAATGGTGCCATGTGCCTGCGTGGCTCAAGTACCATGTTTGCTCCTGCCGTGCCTGAGTCCCCTGCAGTGTTAGTGGTGACTAGCTAGGCTTTCCCCAAATCAGCCGGCCGAAAAATTCGCCGAAAGCGAGACTTAGCGAAAAATCGCTAAAGCGTTTCGCCAATTTTGGAGGGTTTCTTTGAGAATCGCCGAAAATCTACCTAATGTTGTTGCAAAGT